CAAAGCTATGTGGGATAAATGTGTGTGAGAGGTTTTTCTCCCTCAAGGATACCGCAGTTTAGAGAGAGGCACACATACAGGCAAGCATTAACCGTAGGACAAATGCTAACGAAGTAAGCTTTCTACAGGGTCTTCAATAATTCTAAGAAACTATCATTCTTGTGTTGAGCTGGTTCTCTGCTGGAAATGTTCATTTCAGTTCACAGGACTTTGTCCAGGCCGTGGTCACTGCTGGAAACTGGGACACCAAGCCTAGATTCTTCTCTCTCCTTTCCCTTCCAGCATCTGCCACTCATAGTCCAATACAGACCTGCCTACTAGCTCAGATGAGTCCTTAAGTGTGGTCTTTTTCTTTGTCTTGACTGCCACTGCATTAGTTTCAACAATTTTCACTCTTGTAGACTCTTGCGGAGGCCATCTAATTCTTCAGCTTGTTTTTATTCTTCATCTCCTCAAATCCATTGCGAAGGCTCCAGCCAGTTTGCTATCATTGTCTGACTCTGTCAGTTATCTGATTGAAGTGTGTGACTCCCAGTTATCTCCGGTCTCAATTTCATTCCTTAGTGTAACAAAGACCAGTCAGGCCTCCCTCATACTTCTCATAGTGGTTATCAGATACTCTGCAAGTATCAGATACTCCGGCCTTTGCTCAGGCCATCGCTGTTCCCCAGAACAGTTTCTCCCCTCAGCTTCACCTGCAGATTCCCACTTACCTTTTAATGCTTAATTGTTACCACTTCAGGAACCCTCTCATCCTTACCAAGTTCTGGTCTCATCAGTGTGTGTACTACCATAGATACTTCTGCTATACATGCTGTGTCTGTGTCTATTTCCACCAGTAGATGTGCATTCCTCAAAGACAGGTAACAAGGTCTAAAGTGTCATTTGTTCTTACACAGTACCTAGTGTGTAGTAGAAAATGAAAATTAATTTACTATGTGTATTGGATTGTTTATTAAAATAGTAGTAAAAGATATAAGGAATAGAAAAAGATATCATAGAAGAGAGTGATTAATTTGAATTTTGAAGGTCAAGGAAGACTTTATATAAAATTTAGTATTTGAGTTACACCTTGGAAGACATCCACAATCAGAAAGCAGGGGCAGCAAGAACTAAAAAAGGAGGTTTCCTATAAGCAGAGGTAATGAGCTGTGATTGTATTGCATTGCATGAGAACAGCCCATCAAAGTGTCGCTGGAACTCTTGTAAGTAAACATGGAAATAGATCAGCTGAGGATTTAAACCACTATCTAGGGTTTGTTCTTAACTTCACAGTCAGTGGGGATAGAGTGAATAGTTTTAGAGCAAAGGAGAACACGATCTAGTTTTCTTCTAGAAAGTAAGCATTTCAAGACTTAAAGGTTTTGTTGTTCATTTTTTTCTCTGTCTAATTTATTCTAATCTAACTGAAAGGTGACTTGCTTAAAAGTCAGAACGCAAGCATGTTTTAGGACACTCTCCAATAGATCTTTCTGTAATAATGGACGTGTTCGATATGTGTTGGTGTATAATGCAGTAGCCACTGGACATGTGGCAACTTGAGAAACTGAATTTTTAATGTTACTTAATTTTAATTTACTTACACTTGATTTTAAATAGCCCTGTGATGAGTGACTACATATTAGACAATAGTGTTAGAAAGTTCTCCCAGGCAGGGTCCAAACAGGAAACAGATGGAATACTCCAATTAGGAAATTTAAAGGAGATTTTCTTTATGAAGAGACTTTTCCAAATGTGTGGGCACATCTAAGGGAGCCACGTGAGAGTGCTATGAACTGTGCTTAGTTACATGGGACCAGTGATGAGATAATTCAGGGAAGGATTGCTGGTCAAGATTGTAGGGGTATAAACCTAACCACACTGGGTCTGTATTTATAATAAGCAGCAATAATTTTAACAAACCTTCACTGAATAAAGACCACACTAGAGCAATTCTTTTCAATGAAGTCTTTCTTTCCTAGTTCTTTTGTTTCCTGATGAAGAACGTGGATGCTTTCTCTGTGCAGTGCAGAACCAGGCATGTTTTCTCAGTTCTTTCCTCACAACAGTTCATCAGAGTCCTCTTTCGCGTTAGCGAGGTTTTGCTGACTTCATGATGGCGCCTGTCAGGGATTCCTTTAAGGAGCATCCTCTCCACGGAGCACTTGAGACAGGCAGGATCAGACTGTTATCTGCGGCTGTGCTTTAATATCCTGCCCTTTCTGTCTCTCATCTCAGAACACGGAATTCTCCTAGCTTCCTGCTTGATGATTTGCTAAGGCTTTGAAAACAGAAGGAACCAGGGCTTTTAAACAGGATGGGGCTATTTCTCCTTGCTTTATTTATTTTTATGCTATGTAAAAGGAATAAAGAGATGTAAAATGACTCAAGTGAAGCCAAATAAATCTTGGTAGGTAGAGCAAGGATCCAATAAATAGCTGGAGGTGAACGAGAAGAAAAGTGTCGGTAGTTGGGGATGGGACATGGAGGGAGAAAAAAGGAAGAAAGAAGGTGGAACTTTACACTCCCTGTAGTGTTAGGGGGCCGTGTGTTATTATCTAAGAAGCAAAACGGCTTTGACCCAAAGAGACATTTTAAACTAAGGTTATGCTCTGGATAGAAATTAGAAAACCTTCTTTACAGCTCTTATTGAAGCTCTTCATGCTGTCACCTCCTGTCGTCCTTTATTAAAGTTGTGCATGCTCTGCTACTGGGTCTGGGGAGGCTGATGTCTTTCAGTTGTTTCGATGAATCACATCACAGAGGCGAGTGAGTTTCCATAGCCAACACAACAGGAGTGTGTGAGCACATGGGTGTAAGGGACGAGTGTGTGTGTACGTGGGTGTAAGGAGCAGTCTCTCTGTTCTACTCCTGGCCTTTTTTTTGATGATCTCTGCTTCCACGAAGTGGAAAGAAATATAACCACAAGCTGATAAAGCAGTAATCTGGAGAATAAGGGTGAAGTTCTTCAGGTAAAACTAAAAACCGTCTCTTAGCCTGTTATGTATTTATACCATTGCCTCATCCAGCCCTGAATTAATGTTTCATAGTTCCCCACTGCTAGTGTAGAGAATGCTGGCAGAAACACCTAAGAACAGCTTTCATCTGGGTTTGTCACCAGTTTTGCTTCAACAGCTAGAATTTGATTTGTGCTCAGGCAAATATCCTAACTTCAGTATCTCCTCTCTCTGCTTCCCTTTCTCCCCTGTTCCTTCTTTAGACATAGTTTTCATTGTGTGCACATTGCTCACTTTAAAAATTGAGTGTAGTAAAAACTTAGTGGTCCTCTACTGTGTCTCCCAATCGGTGACAGTGGAAAAAATTTTGGCTGGTAGTGGCTGGGAGTTGGTATTGGAATTTAGTGCACATGCCTCCACAGTTGCTAAACATGTGATTTATAGGATAATCACAAAGGGTATTCTGTTTTTCACACTTCAAATATTAACAGAGAGAAAATGTAGAACTGAGGTTTAGGTGGGTACCAGCAACTTCAGGTAATAGAAGACTTCAGCTGTGCCTTGAGGCTGAATTCTAAAATTTTCTTCAAAAATCTAGTGTTATAACTTCTTGGCATATTGTAGACCTGTAATTAAACTATCTTGTGTTTTGAATGATGGTTTTCATTTGTAAGTTAATTAACTCCATTCCATATGCCCCACGTATGTTACTAATCAGAATTTTAAAACAAAGTTAAGATATACTTACTCATATCAACATAGTAAAACAATTTTAAGGGTGATGAGCACAGGCAGAAACAAAGTAAAACAGGAAATGTTATTGATGTAAAGATAGGTGATAGCTTCCTTTTGAGCAGAGTTCTGGTGAAATTCTTTAGGGAAATCACCTAGGAATAGAAAGGATTTTAGTAGGTGCTGTGGGAAACTCTCTCTGAAGTCAAAGGTGGATTTTATGAGAATCAAGGAAAAGAGATAGGAAAGTAAGGGATACTGCTCCTGTAAAGGGTAGTGCTCAAGAAGATGTGGCAGGAAGTAAGACCAAATAGGTAGGTTAGGGAGAAAATACCCGGTCTTAAATTTCTTGTTAGAATCTTTCCTTTTGAAGGTGTGAGTCTAGGGATGAGGACAGTGTTTGACATCTACCTAGGGGTGTCCACTTGCCTCAGTGTCTTTTATCATGGTCTATTCTGTAAACTTGTTCCCTTATCAGCTCTTAAACCTGCTGTCCTGATTTTCAAGGTCTTCTAAGAGCTCTTTTCAGCTTATTAATTTAAAAGCAGCAATTTTCCTAGAGGTGAATCACATAATGATTTTTTCCAATCTCTTTTATATGAGATACCATTGAAAAAGTACGATTAGATTCAATCCACTTGTCTCCCACAAAAGTAATATGTAGAAAATATCAATCAAGGTGACTATGTGCTTAAAGATTTAGCTTAAGGATGTAGCAGGGAGAACTGTTCTGGTCAAAGAATGCAGAGGTGTTGCACAAATTATCTATAAAGAGCCAAAAGCAGCATCCAGTTCTTACTTAAAACAATTTGTTCTTGGAATACTGTCAGCTAAAACTGTGGTCAACTTTTGCAAATTGTATGAATTTGCACTGCATATTTTATTTAATGTTTAGCAAAACTCCAATATGGCTCTGCATAACTTACACAACAGACCAAGAAAATGACTTCAGAAACTCCCACAGAGGTTGACAAATTGGGCATCTAATGCTTTTAAGCTAATTGCATGCTTAACAGTTAAAGAGCTGACTTGTTAAGAATGAAGATAGGAGTTTCATGGAGATAATGCTCTGCCTTCTGCCACATTGAATATAAGCGAGCCCTGTATCAGAAATATTACAGAAGCTTAAAGAAGAAAATAGTGTGAGCCTTAATCGCTGTTCTACTTAGTCTTAAGTGAAGTGCTCATGCATCATACACAATATCGTATCATTTTTTGAAAACTATTCTTGAATTTTCAAGCTGTTATTTTCAGGAAATTTAGGAAGCAAATTGCTAAGTGATAAAGTGTAATTTGATGCCATTGCTTATGTCATTTTTTTCTTCCTTGCAGGCAGGAAAAAAGGAAAGGAGTAGTACCCTGAATACTGCTATAGACAACATGTGCAAGAAAGCCCGAGACCTTCGCAGACAGGTGAGAAGACAGAGACCCAGAGATGGACATAAACATGCAGAGGAACTTTTATTCACCCCAAGACATTCATTTCGTGTTTCTGTTCTTTCCAGATTAATTTAGAACAAGAAACAACGTTTACATACTTCTAATGCTTTTGTGGTAAATGTAAAATAGAAAAACAGGATGTGCATTAATGTGATGCAGGATTTCATTTAAATCATGGCTTTGTCCTTATCAGTTGTGAAATCTTGGGCATTGATTTCATCTCTCTGAGTTTCTCTGAACCTATCAAATGGAATTAATCATACACAATAGGACTTTGAGAATTAAATAAAAATGCATGATAGTGAGATTTTAGGGAGTGTTGGTGAATTGATTCTTATCACATTAAAAATTGAGTTTATCCTCCAAATACTTATGGAAAAGTGTTAGTAATTCAAACATTCCAATTCTCTGTTTTGATTATTTTCAGGATGCTGAAAAACTGAATTTCTATTGAAGTAAATACTGCTTTTTAACCTTGGATCTTGGCAAACATGTGATTTTAAAGAATTTCATTAAATAATTTAGAAGTCTGAGTTATGCCACCAGTTAATTTTTTCCAGAAATATAAAAATGTAGCTAATTTCATTTTATTTATTTATTTTTTTTTCCGGTACCAGGAATCGAACTCACGACCTCTTGCTTGCCAGGCAGGCACTGTGCCACTGAGCTAAATCTCCAGCCCAGTAGCTAATTTCAAAGGCCTGTCCTTTCTATCCCTTTCCACTGTTTAATAACCAGACTTCTTCCTCAAGCAAAACTTTAACATGGTTACCATTCACTCAAAAGAAGAGCAAAATGTTTTCAAACAAAAGGTTTTAATGCAATATATTATTGTAGTTCATTAGGTAGATTTAGTAAAATGGCTTAGCAATGTTTTAATTCAGAAGTGGATTTGGAAATGAAATAAATAAGAATCCTCAGACATTTAACATTCCTGTGCAAGAACACAATTTTAAGGTCTGTGAATATACCAATTTCTCAACATTGTGGTTTGAATGTGAATTTTCTTTCTACTGTCAGCTTTAGAATCTCGGAATGTAAGTGTCAAAAAGAACTTTACAGCACTCTTCTTCTACCCTGCAGTTTCACTTTGCAGATGAGTAATCAGGCCAGCATGGCAAGGTGAAGTGCCTAAAGGGAAAGGCAAACGTGGTTTCCTTGAGTCTGAACCTAAACTGAGACTCAGTTACTTTTACCCTCTGAGTTATTCACCCTTTGCTATATGAGTTTTATTCTTTATCTGCAGGATTTCAATCCCATCTGTCCCTCCTAGAACTTGGAAGAATTGTCCCTATAAACTATCAACAATTATGTCTTTTATTCTTATGTCTTCTATCTATATTGCTTTCAACAACATTATGCATAAAAAGCTAATCTACATTCATCCCTCCAAAGCTTCTGGAGTCATTATTTTTCTTAAAAAAATCAAGAAAAAGCAGTTACATGTGTGTTGAATTACTAGATTTAGCAAATAAAAGCACAATATGGCAAGTCCAATTTGAATTTCAGATTAGTAACAAACATGTTTTAATATAATTATGTTCCAAATATTGCATAGGGCATACTTATATTAAAAATATAAGTAGTTTCTCTGAAATTAAAATGTAGCCAGGTGCCCTGCATTTATCTTGTAATCATACTTATTTTTCTAGCACGCTGCCATCAGTGTGATATAGAAATAACACTGAGGTTTACAAATACTTTTTTCAACAGTGTTATTTCTTCATCAGTCTGTAGAGTTCCCCTGAGATTTGAAAGTTTGAAAATTGTACATGGCACTTATCAAGGGTCAATGTGTCCTCTGCTTCAGATTTTCATTAATGTCTGACAAAATGCCATAAACAACAGCAACCATGATTCCATCTTACACTTTAGAGTTTGGCCAGGGGTCAACAGGGCTTTTTCTGTACTCTTTTCATTGTGAGTTCCCATGGTGTAGCATTATAGGCAGGTAAATTAGATAGAAATTAATATACAGTTAGAGAAGGACTGGGCTTAAGAATACAAAGTAAAAATAAGGAAATCACAATCCTGGCTAGAGGCACATTTGAAAAAGGCGAGGCCTCAAGACAAAGCCACAATGGCTAAACTTGCGTACTTTGCTAAGGGATAAATGGAAACTTGAGATTATACTGTCATTGGTATCTTTCAGTATATTAAGTCCAGATATGCATAAGACACCTGGATGGGTGACCAGAACACCTGTACCCATCCCTTCCCCAAATGTTCCTGTTTTAGGGATCATATATAACTCAACATTAACAACGCTAGCCATATGCTTTTGCTACATGCCCTGCTTCTTTATTGGATCAATATTAGCTAAACAGCTATACTTGTAATCCTATAGGTTGAATATAGTTTGACTCATATTATACTGAGACTGTTATTTTGCTGTATAAATTACCCTTGACAAAGGACCTCACTTGCAACCTGTTTTGGACCCTTCCTCGCTCTCAGGAGCTATTGCTATTCTCCAATAAATCTTTCCCACTCTTAACCTCTTTTGTCCTTTGGAATTCATTCTTTGATTTCAGGGAACATGAACTCAGCCTATCTGACATCTAGCAGGCTGGGAGTTATATTTCTCTTAAATCAGTAGTGATCAAGGCTGGGCTCAGGCTGGGTGTTGGGGCCTTGGTATTTCTTCCCATTCTCTCTCTCTGTGTAGTGTATAATCTTCAAAAGTTCCTCCATGTGTATTTTCCAGTAAGAAAGACAGGATTTATTTCATGATGGTTTATGGTGCCAAGATATGAGAAATAGAAGCTACCATGCTTTGTTAATGGTTGATCTTTTTAGCTCCAAACTTATACATTATCATAATCACAAACCCTACACTACATTAGGAAGAGCAATCAGCAACTGTCTTTTGTAGGAGAAGTTGTATTTGTGTGTACAAAGGGTGGAGTTGCCAGAAGCCGTCTTTGGAGACATCTATGTTCTTCGATGTCGGTGAGGTTAGTCGCTGTGATTCTTTTCCTTTAGTATGCCTGCCAACCCCCCCAACCTCCTTTCCCATCCTGATGTTATACTTTTGGTTATAACACAAATTAGTTAAAACAGCAATGTGAACTATCCTGCCTTTTCTTATTCTTGCAAAGTTTATCTAACAGTTTGTTTTGAATACCTTACATACAGTCTTTCTCACAAGAATGAAAAATCCTACCCTCATAATGTTTTTGGAAAATGTTCATCTCTTGCTGTAGAAGTGATTTTATTGCTTGTTTTTAGAAAAAAGATAATCAGAATCTACCGTCTTGCTCATTCATCCACACCTCCTTTCTTCACCATGGCTTCTTCACCAGTAACATGGAAACACTTTAGCTTTGGTTAAAAAAATGAGTGGACTTCCACTGTAAGGAGAGACAGAGATTGCTGAGAAATGTATGAGGAAGAGCAAACTATTCATTTGGAGCTTTGAGATAGATTTTCTAGGAGATGACACAGCGCTTTGTTGTTTCAACTTTCTTGCTCTGACTTCTTTGCCTATTTTACTGGAGAATAAAAACATAAGTACTTGGCTAGGTGTTCTAGATTCTCTGAAATCTGGCCCAGCATACTCCCTATCATTTTTAATGTTGTTTATCCTATAGATTTCTTTATCATTTCCTTGTCTTGAGCACACCAACATATTCATCCATTCTCTGACAAAAGCATCCACTTACTGTTCATCAAATTCCATCACCTATTTCCCAACGTGCTTGCTTCAGCATGTTTATGGAACATCTGTGGTATGTTCAGCTTAGTACCTTCTGCACACTTGTAACTTCTGCCTCCTAATTTGTATACACTAAATTGAAGTCTAGTATAAATACTATTTCTTCCATGATCCCTTTTCTACTTTCACCAGCTGAAATTTATTGTTTTCTTTCTGGAGCACTTACGGTATAGGCACCTCTACTATGAGAGCTGTCCTTATTCTCCTTGAATTTCACATCCTTTTGAAATCTTAAAGTTTTTCCCTTTAGCCTACTCATATATAATTTTTTGAAAAGTTTTATCAAAATCTGCAATAAAGGAAAGACCTTAAACAGGGGATGCTTAATTAAAAATTGAAGCAATCAAATATACACTATTTCTATTGTCCCATGAAGAGCAAATCATACATTTGGTTTCACTAAGGACAGGTAAAAATTTTTATTTGTGTATATTAAGAAAAATGTTAGTGCCACAGTAAGTCAAACAGAGCAAATTTCTTGTAAAAACAAACAATGTAAAACTTGATTGATTCTTTATTTCAGCTTCTGTGTTGCTGAATTGCTATGACTGCCTTTTATCCGTGTTGGTAATACAATACTCAGAAAAAGGCTTAGGCTCTTGAAACTCTTAGTCATTGTCATGATCATCATCACCGTCACCATTGTTATGAAATCATGCTGTCCCCCAGTACCATTCCATTCAATTGGCACATTAGTTATATATTTAATTGTTAGCTAATTTTGTTCCTATTGGTCATTTGAGCTTTGCAAATTATGTTTTGTCATTTCATTTGAAGTTAAAATTTCACTGATGTACCCCAATGTTAGTTTTTCTAGTTCCCTGAGGATTATTCTTTTCTGAAATACCTTTTCTGCTTTTCATTCTCTTTCTCTCACAGTTTTATTTTTTCTATTCTCCTGTTTGGTAATTGTGGTAGGGCTTTCACATGCTTTTCACATAGGACTCTCACTTTTAGGTTTCAATTGTAGAGAAATATATTATTTTATTTGAGGTCCCAAAGCACTTATATCAGTGGGAAATAGAAAAATTGATGTTTCAAAACCTTTTATTAAACTGTAGAGAGGAAAGATGAAAAGCCCCTCAGTTTGGTTTTGTTCTGACATTGTTCATGCTGGACTACAAACAGGTATTTATTGAAAATATATACCTCTAACTCCAATTGGTTTCCCAATAACTTAAGAGTTTAGCCCCATGGCTTCTACTTCTACACTGGTGTGTTAGCTTCTGCCTTGACTTTTTTGTGTTTCTAAGTGAAAGGAATGTAATATACCATTGACCAGAATAATAATATAGAAACAAATATGACAGAGGATGCATGAGCATCATAGATGTACATGACTGCAATGCAATGGCAGAAGTCCTATATGAATGTATTAGAACATGTAAAGAATGTCACTTAGCCTAACACTAGTCCTCCTGTATCCCGTTCCTATCTGCATATCCAGTTCCTGCATAGTAATTCCTCTTTCACAATTTGCAGGACATCAGGCATACCAGAATCACAGGCAGTATTTTTCTAAGCAGAAGTGTCATAATATGATCAGCAAAGATTTATTTATGTAAGGTGTTGGAGTCTATTACCTGATGAATGACCAAGCCTTAACATGAAACAAAGGTCCTTGTTCTACATTGGTTTTCCATAAAAGTAGAATGTACAGGACTTTATAGTAGGTAGTTTATTTGAGAGGTGATTCCCATGAACAAATGAAAAAGAACATGAAAAGTAAGATGGGGGAAAGAAAGGGTATATTTTTGAGGTTGTTGCTATAGCAACAAGAACTTGAGGATTTCTGTCACCCCAATGTATCTTACCAATGGATAAAGGCTGGAAACTTTACCCACAAGCTCCTATCCCTTGGTTAATGGTTGCCTACAGGGGTGTGGACTCTCCAGAACTTCCAAGGTGTGTTTGTGCTTTGGTTGAAATTTCACAGAGCCTTGAACCAGTTCTCAAGATGGAATAGCAAAAGGAGCATGACAGGTCCTCCAAGGACCTGTTCCCCATAGCTGAAGTCAAACACAGCACCAGATGAGAAGTAAGGCACCAAAAAATGTCCAATGTAGTACCCAATCATAGTCATAACTCCAAAGGTAGAGGATCAAGTGTCAGCAAGTCAGATGGAGACAAGAGAGAAAACTGTGGTTTCACTGATTTAATAATGCTACTTGTCATTTATATAGATAAATATATTTTCCGTGGGAGAAACACCTCCTTGTCTGCTCTGTGCTTACTCTTAAAGGTTTCATGGATGACTAACACATGTCACTGATTTCCTGTTATATTCTTCTGTCATGGAACAAATATCACAAAAGTTTACAATGTGAGAATGTAGTTATTCTCCATATTTCTAGACTTTTACCTTGGTTACAAATCAATATGCTTTATGAAAAGCTCAAGGTAGTCTGTCTTTTGGGGCATGCTTACAGATGTAAACTTATATCACTGTCTATTATACAAAATCAATCCATTTTTAAAGATGTGTTTCAAGGTAGCTCATATGGTCTTGCATCTCTGTGCCACAATCCAATTACTACAAAAAGGAGTTTATGTCCAGTGCCCACCTTGTTCCCCACTCACTCTTCAAGCAAGAGCAATAGGAGCTGTGCTCTACCTCTCCACTGAAACTACTTTTACTAAGTTCATCAACAAACTCTTAGTGTTCAAATCCAATTGACAAGTCACTTGTTAAAATTTTAAATTTTCTTTCAAATTTAACCTTAACTCTCTCTCTCTCTCTTTCTCTCTCCCTCCCTCTTCCTTGCCCTCTCTCTCACCTGTCAGTCTCCTACTTTTCCTTTATGTGCTATTTAATAATGCTCACTTTTCTAGGAGGATTATGAGGGGTCATGACTTTTTATCCTGACACCTCTCACAGTACTTCCTTGTTTTTAGTAGAAGGAACAGCAACCAATGTTCAGAAGTATTTGTTGATTTGAATGAAATCAAATACACAGAAAAGAAGATTCCACAAATCCCTAATATGGATGTTATAATTTCATTTGTGGGAAAGTACATTTGGAGAGTGATGACACTCAGATTTAGTTGAACTTTTATCTCTTAGTTGCTGGTCATTTTGTTTGTTTCTTGACCATTTTCTCTGTCTTTTTAATTTACTCTCCCGCCTGTACGACTGTCTAACTGGGGGTGCTTCCTCAGCTTCACTCTTGCATGCTGCCTTGCAGCAAGTCTTCCCTATGTGGTCCCACACTCTCTTGTACTAAGTTCCCTCATGTCTGCAGCCTCTCGGTAGCTCATCTCTAGTGCAGAATTTTCTTCATGCCCCAGATACATATCTAGTGACAGAGAGAAAAAGATAGAAGGAAGAACTGGTCATTGGAGATATTTCCCTTTCTGAGAGTGTACGGTTATTTTTTGGTCATGTATCTGAAACTTACACACCATGTACTTCCCAGCTGTAGTCTTCTCTTTGGACCTCTTGCAGGACTTAAGTGATCTACTTCCCATGGACAGCAAACTCGTTACTCATTCATGCAACCTCTGGGCACACTGCACTCTGTCCTGATAAGTGATCAGTAAACACTAATTTGCTGCTTTTAGTGATCCGCCCTTCAGCATACTAAGCAGAATTTTTCCTTGGGGATCTGCCTGGAGACATTGTGAAATTGTTGGTAGACAGAAGATTCCATAGCTCCTTTGAGCAAATGCTACTATTTTGGACAGATGTATTTTCTCCCAGAAATCTAGAATTATTATGCATTTATTGTCTTATAATTACTATAGGAAGACAGTGCTTTTTACAAATGCAGCTCTATCATCGATTTCCTTTAGAAAGTAATAGTAATTCTCAGAAAATATAAAATTATGTTTTCTATTGGTTTAAAAATACCCTAAAATATAATTTTCACAGAAGGAAAATTTCACTGTTTTATTTTTGTTGTTGTTGTTGGTTTTTTTTTTTTTTTTGGTAATGGGAATCAAACTCATGACCTCGTGCTTGCCAGGTAGATGTTGTGCCACTGAGCTATAACCGAGCCCTTGAAAATTTTAATTTTTCCTATCTGATACTTATTTATCTTTTTGTTATTATACAGAGGTCATTAAACTAAATGAAAATGTTAATACAAAAACCTCCAGGTCCATTAATAGTAATTGACTTTTTGAGAAATCTGCCATGATTCTGATGTGTATTCATTTATAGGTGATCTGTTTATTTTCTCTAACTGCTTTTAATATTCTGTTGTTTAGTTGAATTTCTGGGATCTTGATTATTGTGTCTGGGTGTAGATTTATTTTGGTTATGAGTAATTGGAGATCTATATACCTCACTTATTTGTATGTCTTATTCTTTTCCCATGCTTGTAAAATTTTCTGCTATTACTTCTGCAAATAGTCTTTTTATGTCATTTGTGCTGACTCCTGCTTCGTTGACATCTTTTAATCTTACATTGTGTTTCTTCGCATCCTTGTGCAGCTGTTGAATTGTTATTTCCTGGTTCTTTGTTATTTTTAAGAGATCCTTTTACAATCGTTAGGTGCAATGCTGTCATCAAGGTTTGAAAGTCTATCTTCAGCTTCATTCAAGTGGATTTGCCAGCTTTTGATGGAATTTTTAATTTCCTTGATATCTGTTTGAGTCTGTGTCATGCATTTTAGTTCTTTCCTATATTGTTCATTCAAGGTTTCCATAATTTTTCTGTGCTCCTCTATTTTCTTATCTATGTCTTCTTTAGATGTGCTGAGCAATTCTTTCATTATTGTTGTCATTTCTTTTTTATTTGAGAGAATATTTCTGATCTGAATTCTTCTATAGTGTGGTGGAGTTCTCTCTTTACTTCAGTTGCTATCATTTCAGAAATTTCAAGCTCTTCTGTGTCAGTGTCTCTTGGACTTGTTCTGCAGGGGTGGAGGTCTGAGACTGCATTTTGCTCCTTTGTTTTGTCATTTTCAAAGATCCAGAGGTTCCTTGGAGTGGCGGGGCAAGGATCTGAAGGTCCCTGGTGCTCAGCATGGCTCCTGTGATGGTGTGTGAGGGCAGGGTGCAGTTGCTGATGTTTCTGAAGCTGTCCAGGGCCCAGGCCAGCACTCATGCCAGTGTGGGAGGGGTGGGGGCATGTTCACTGAGGCCCACAAGCTGTCCAGGGCTCAGCTAGACTCTTTTGTTGGTGGGGGAGGGGTGGGGGGCTCATCAACGTTCCCAAGGCTGTCAGGGGTTCAGCCCAGCTCCCATAAGGGTGCAAGGGAGGGGACAACAGTAAGTGACATTGTTAATGAGACATTTCTGCCTATTGTGATCCATAAAGGATCAATATTGTAAATGCAAATAATTAATTTTCCAATGCAGTTTAAAATATCAAAGATGAAGGGAGAGATGAGGAAGGGGAAGGGAAAGGGAAGTGCAAAGAATTAAGATGTGTTATGCACATGTACCAATTTCCCATGATGAATGGAATCAGTATGTACTGCAAACATGTAATAATAAAAATTTAAAAAAAATAAAATATCTGCTGAGTAATTATCTAATTGTCATTTATCATCTTACATGTAATCTAATTTGAAAGAACAAGTTGTAGCAGAATGTTATAGTTGTTTAATAATTTAAGGTGTGAGGACAAGAACAATTAATGCAAACTGAGAAAATTGGACATCAAACTCATTTATTCTTCTTCTTGCTCTATTAATTTGTTATCATCTGGTGCAATTGGTGATCTAACTTAGTTTAATTGGCATAAAGCCTACAATTTAGCTAATCAAAATTTATCATCAGTTACTCCAGCAAGGTAGAAAACATTTTATAATTTTGTAATTATGAAAATACAAGATGTGCAATGTTAATTGTACACATGCATAAACATCCTAATACTGTAATTTATTTAATAAAAAAATGGAGTATTACCAGTTATAATCTAATTTATAGGCTAAGTACAATTTAGAAAAAATTAGTGACTTTTGAGAGTGAAAATTTATTACTGACTTTTTTTCTGGATAATTTGCTTCTCTGACTTTTGTAAGGGATGTTCCTATTCAGTGTTGAATCTTAGGATATTATGGATTATTTTAAACTTGATAAACTGAATTTTGTAATCACTGAGATCATAAGACTAGGAAATGATATGAACCTTTTCCTTAAAAAAAAACTTGATTTTTTATTTCTCCTCAGCTCCGCAAGGCTATTATTGATCATGTGTCAGACTCTTTCTTGGATACAACAGTCCCACTTTTGGTTCTCATTGAAGCTGCTAAGAATGGCCGGGAGAAGGAAATAAAAGAATATGCTGCAATATTTCATGAACATACCAGCAGGCTTGTAGAGGTAAGTGTGCTAGAACTGCAACCACTTTAAATCAAGGTGAAGGAGGCTACCATTTTCCATTTACTGCTGAATTGTACTCAAATAAAAACTTTTGACCATGTATTACAAATGCAGCAGAATTTGACCTGGATTATATGAAGGTGTGTACATCAAACAGTGTAAGCCATCCCCTATGTGTTTTAAACAGAAGCCATTCATTTAGAAAGAGCCATAAAATTAACCCTTCTCTCATTTTACTTTTAGTGTATATTTTCTTAGCGCTACACAAAAGAACTAGCTAAATACAGGTACTTAGATTTACCCTTGCAAATATTTCTTTCCATTCTAACTTAAAAGTATAGAACACTCTATTTCACTTTAATGGTGTGTATGTGTGTGTTTAAATGGTTTTCATGATAATGTGACTTCTTTGGGTTTTCAAAACATATTTAACTGTATAACATGGATAGAACAAGAATGTAGGCTATGTAGAGGTACAGAAACTGAATAATTAAGTAAGTATAGTGGATTAGGCAAGAGACGATGAAGTTATAATTTCTTATGCTTAGCAACTGGAGACATGAGAATGACCCATGCTTTTGGAAGATGGATAGCATAATGCTGAAAGATCTTTGAATCCTAGGAGGTTCCCAGGAGACAGATAGTAGAACCCTTTGTATTATGGGCATCAATAGCACAGCTACAGTATAAAAGAGAACCTGCATGGAAGAATTTCTAACACAAGTAATGTAACTATGCAGAAGAGCAAGAACCAGTGGCAGGGGCTGTTCTCTCAGTACCTGTGTTATACTGCTAATTTTCTTGAGTGTGACACCTTCTAACACCAACCATAAAATTTATAAGGAAGTATGTTTTTGTGGTCTATCAATGCTTTTAAAATTGGCAAGTGAAAAATAATTACCACCTGAATCAGAAACACATTTTATACAACTTCCACTGAAAGAGAGAACTTTCTTAACATCCTTACTCTATTGAGAAGGTTTCCAAAGTAGGCTAACATTTTTACTGTAAACTCTCCTTTTGGATTTCAATATCCTCAACTAGAAAATGAAATGAATGGTTGAATGCATGAATACTAAGCTCATTTCACCCTTAAAAGTCCATATCGAACTTTAAAACCTCATTGAAATCTCCTCAAAACTCTGTGAGATAGACCCAAAGCTACAAATTTAATTGGTCTTTTATGGAAATAAAAGTACAAAACCAATCTGGTACTGATTTCCAGGTAAAAATTTTTAATTGTCAATAATTTATGATCTGGTTTTATTTATTTCTTAACATGCTCATTTCTCAAATATTTATTTACTATATTCACAAGAGAATGTTGAAAGTTCTGATCAATGGGAACATATTGTAAAAGTCACCTAATTTAGCGTAGTACCTGACACTTGCCATTTTTTTCAGTAAAAGGTATTCTCTCAGCTGTAGTCACACCAAATTATGAAAAAATATTTTGTAAAATACTTTTAAAGAAAAATTTGGTATCTGCTGACAAAATTGCATCTTTCCCCCATTTCTTAGTTTTTCTTATATATCTCAGGTAATCTCATTAAATAAAGGCACTTTGATCAAATATTTTTTGGAAAAAGTTATCTGGATATGTCCTTTTGGAGAGTTTACATTTTTGAAAAATCTTAAAAAGATTTCTAAAATTTAATTAAGGTCAATTCCTCCAATTCAGGTAAACTAAGAAAAATCTCTTGTGACATTACTGAGGAAGTGTCTTTAAGAACCATTTGGCATGCTACTATTTTGAAGATCAAATAGTGATTTACCATGTAGACAGACCTCCAAGAATTTGTTTTAAATGTCTGAGGATTTTGAAACTTTTTTATTTCATGTGAATATTGAGTAGATGTTGAATAAATTCAATATTCAACATTGAATATTGAAAGAACAAGAGCATTGGAATCACAAGCTGTGAGAACACAAGGACGTGCTTATTTAACTGTACATTCCCTAAACACATCATGATGAGACTGTGCCAGAGTGAGTGTGCCACCTAAATTTGTGTTTCACTCTAGCACCATTACCTAGAATCTTCTGCTCTTTGGCTTTTTTTTTTTTTTCGTTTTTTTGAGACAGGGTCTCGGTGTGTTGTTCAGATTGGCCTTAAGCTCACTTTGTAGTCTAGGCTGGTCTCGAACTCACAACCATTCTCCTGCCTCAGCTTCCTGGGTGCTGGGATTACAGGCATGAGCCACCATGCCTAGTGAAATTTAGTGGCTTTAAGCAACTATTTCTGATTGTCTCTCTCCACTCTGAGTGGACTGGAAAGAGCCAGGCAATTCTCTTTGAGGATTTCTCATGTGATGCTGCTCAGGTACTGGTGGAACGAAGCTTGTCAGTGGTTGCCTAGGCCAGACATCCAAGATGGAAATTTACATGCCTTAAAGTGCGTGTCAGCCATTAACTGAGAGGGTTTTGTCTGTTGACTAGAGCATTAATACATGCCTTCCCACGTGGCTCCAGCTTCTCACAGAATGTTGTTGGGTTCAAAGTGCTAAGTTGCTAGAGCAAGTAAGAAGCAGGAAACAGAAGCTGCAATTTTCTTAATTTTTCTACCCAAGCCCATTTTAAATATATTCCATTGGTCACAGCCATGATAGAGTCTGGCCAGACTCAAGGGCAGGTAAGAGGTGAAATCCCATTTTCAGTGGAAGGAAGAGCAAAGTATTTGTGGCCCCCTGTAATCCACTACACTTCTCTCTTCAGGAGTTTATTCGCTTTACCTATAAAATGATGTTCCAACAGATAATATCTAAGATCACTCCTAATTGTGGGACTTCTAGTTTTTTGAGACATATAGTAAATAAAAATGTTTTTTAAGTGTAATGCTTATACAGAAGGCTAGATAGAAAATACATGTGAAATATATGTATGTATGATATACATGTGGTATATACATATATATGACATAGAGAATTTTCCAATAAAAGTTCTTAAAATGTCACTTAAGTATATAGCTCTAGGAGAAAAAGAAGAAGAGTACTGATTTCTCTCCCAGGAAAATCCTTGTTTGGAAGGAGATGTGTCATGAGAACAACAAAGAAATCATCATTAATTTCCCATGAATGCTGAGACAGAAATGTCTGTGAAAGTGTTCCGAGAGATAGGAGAGCTGAATCTCTCAGTTTCAGAGGACCTTGTGAACTCTCTTTGTATTGATTGCGTCCCAGCCCCTCACTCTACCCTGTTTACCAACTCCCTGCACATCTAAACCTCAGTATCTACATCGGTCTTATTCCCAAACCGGGTGATTTGACCTAGCCAGAAAGAAAGTCTTGGATTCTAAATGACTTCAAGATAAAGTTGTAACATGTCTGCGTTTTGGTACTTCAATTACGTTTGTTACCAAAATCTAAAATCAGTGAATGTGTTGAGTTAAGACTTAAAAAGAGTGTGGGAAAATGGAATTCATTTTTAAAGAATTCCTATCAGGTTTTTCAAGAAAAACTCCATGCTGGTAAGGAAACTCCTTAAGCAAAGCAGTAAGAAACAGCAAATGAACACAAAACAAAAACTAAAGTGTTAAGAAATTCTAGGGGCAATAAAATCAGTAAATCCAGTGGATCTGACATTTTGAGAAAAAATGGAAATGAAGAACAAAGTGGCAGAAAAGTTGGGCCTACACGTTTGTTTTGTCTGGCAGAGTCAGCTGAGATGTCCTGCTAATGCTAGGTAGTTCGCTGTAATGTGAACAGATGTACAAGAACGGTTATAAAATACTGGATAGCTGCAAAAATGAGATATCCTACACCTTTGCTGCTGACTTAGTGATGCTGAACTGGGAATTATGCGAATATTTTCCTACTTTGGAGGTTACTCTGTGCTCGATCCATGCAGCAATAGTGGGAATGGTAGAAGGGGTCCAGAAGTCAGTGTGCTAAAAGTCCCCTTACCAACGTGACCAGCAATCAGTGGCAAATGTGGTCACTGAGTTATGCTTCCAAGTACTGTAATTTCATCTTGATGGTGACATAGTGCACCATTAGCTCTACTAGCTTCCACTAATGATATCTGCTAAACAGGAAGTTAAAAATATGAAATTTATCTTAAAAATGAAAGTCATTCTAGACTGAGTTTTATATTTTATTACATTTAGCCTCCTGTAATAACAAAGACTATATAGCTAGTACTCAATTAAGCCCCCCAAGAAAGGATGAAAATATAACACCAATTCTGTTTTCCTTCTCTCTAAAAAGTTGATTTTGAATATTCTAGTAATGGGACTTGAGCTATCCATATAAACCAAGTTAGTAAGCAGAGTACCTTTTTACTGTTCTGTGTGTGACCACTTAAAATGATTCTTTATAGGGATATTTCCAGATGCCATTGACATTCATTGTCCAAAGAAGACACTGCTCCAGATCTTCCTAGGAAGGAATGTGTGAAAATTTAATTGAAAGCACCTGTCCATCTCAGAGATGCATTTTGTTACTTTAATTTGGTGATTTAACTATTTTTTCAGAAGAATGCCATTAAATTCAATGGATGCATTGTTTATTTTAATACCTATTATGTACTATCTCTCCAAGATTAACTTTAAAATCCTGTTACTTTTTAAATTTTTTTTTAAAATTTTTTATTTTAAAGAAAATAGTACAAATAAAAGAACAATAGCAAAATACAAACAAAACAAAGCAAGGACATTAAAAATGATACGGGGTTTCAAACCAAATGATAGGGATTAACAGTGGTTGTTTTATTACATATCGTTACCATCAGTGAAGTTGCTCAGATTACCAGATGTAACTTTTGAATCACATTACAATTTGTTCTCAGGAATTCAGTTCATGCTGAACACTACAATTGCTACTGACTAAAACTGCAAAATCTCAGGTTTACTTCATGGATTTTACCATATTAATTATCATTAAGTATGACAGTGTTAGCGATCTAGGTCTGAAAATTTTCTGTGAATTAGAGAATTGTCTCTATGTGAAAAGCCAGCTTCCTCAGTGCTTTGACTTACTCATCAAAAATTCATCTATCCTGAT